GAAGTGGAGCGAGGACATCTTTGTCTTATTCCACATTTTAGGGAGTATACCATGATTTCAAATGGCTGTTTTTTGTAATGATGCCAATTTTTCTCATAAAAGTTTCTCTTACAATTCCAAAAAGCATTAGATCCTTAGGTGGAAGAATACACAGGTGAGAGTAACAATAAAATCTTTGAAATAAAGAAGGGAGTGAAGATTTGCTCTTCTATTGTAACAATGCATTAAAAAGGCAATGGCAATTAGAATGGCACTGGCATCAAGACAGAAATCTTTTTTTAGATTTAGAATACAAATAGAATACAAAGTTCAGACTCTGCCTACAGTATATATAAGAATGTATATGAGAAAACTAATGGCAAAGGGATAGTGTTTTATAATAAGTATTGGGAAGCATGGACTGCTGTTGAGGGAGAGAGGATTAGGTTTTCAAATCATTAAAATAGCATGTAGAAAAATTTAAAGATAATGAAAAACAAAGAAAAAGCCAAACAACTTAAAAGCTAGAGAAAATATTAGTGGATATCATTGGACCTATGAGTGTGGAAGAACTTATTTGAAATAATAGAGGAAATTTGAGATTTGACCACATAACTTATTTTGTCAAACTTATTTGCAAAAAATGTAAGAGACAAAGTGTTATTTTTTTTTTTTAAAGATTTTATTTATTCATTTGACAGAGAGATCACAAGTAGTCAGGCAGGCAGAGAGAGGAGGAAGCAGGCTCCCCATGGAGCAGAGAGCCCGATGCAGGGCTCGATCCCAGGACCCTGAGATCATGACCTGAGCCGAAGGCAGAGGCTTTAACCCACTGAGCCACCCAGGCGCCCCTGTTATTTTTTTTTTAAAGATAATTATTTATTTGAGAGAGCGCGGGCATGAAGGGGGGAGGGAGGGGCAGAGGCAGAAGGAGAGCAGGGAACCTGACAATGCAGGGAACCTGACAATGCAGGACCCCAAGACCATGACTGAACCGAAAGCAGACACTTCATTGACTGAAGGACCCAGGCGCCCAAGACAAAGTGTTAGTCTTAACATAGAAAGTGTTAATATAAATTAATAGGAAATTAAGAATTCAAAGAAAAATGAGCATGGAAAATCGATAATTCAGAGAACAGACAATTCAGTAAAAAGAAATATAAATGACTAATAACTGAAAAAATGTTCAATCTCATTGGCAATCAGAGGAATCCAAAAGAAAGAAGGATATACAAGCTTTTGCTTTCAGCCAAGATTTCTAAATTGATAATACTCCTTACTGCTTAGTGTGTGTTGAGATACCTCTCATATTAACCCTATGAGCTGACTTCTCTTATTTTTTTTATAAAGATTTTATTTATTTATTTGACAGGCAGAGATCACAAGTAGGCAGAGAGGCAGGCAGAGAGAGGAGGAAGCAGGCTCTCCATGGAGCAGAGAGCCAATGTGGGGCTCAATCCCAGGACCCTGGGATCATGACCTGAGCCGAAGGCAGAGGCTTTAACCCACTGATCCACCTAGGCGCCCTGACGTCTCTTATTAAGCCCATTTTATAGTTGTGGAAACTGAGACTCAGCAGGGTTTAGTGATTTTCCTAAGGTTATAATGCTGGGGAGTGGTGGCATTAGAATCTGAACTTGGGTTGTGTGACTCTGTTATGGTGAGGGGCCTAGAAAACAGATGCTGGAAAGGGGAGATAAAGAACAGGAGAAAATGTAGCCTGAAGAGGCAGGCAAAGATACTTGAAGAACCTATGTGGAAGGGCAAATCAGTTTTTATATTATTGTGGAGAGAAGCAACAAGTGGAAATTACACAAGGGAGCACTTTTTTATAGGAAGAACTATCCCTAATGGACTAGAGAGCATGAGCACACCCCACCCTAGGGAGGCAGAGGAAGCCAGAGGGTGTGTTGGCAGTCTCATTTTTTTGAGGAGGAAACACCTCTGGGTGGTCAAGACTTCAGTAGTCTTCACAGTTTCTGCTCTTTTCTCAGTCACAGAGAGTTAAAAGACCCCACCCCTTCCTCCTAGGGCCAAGCGACCTGCAGGGGGGCCCTGCCCGTCTTCACGGGCCTCCTATGGCTCCAATCCCAGGCCAGCAGGAAGCCTGAGCTTGCCAAACTGAGTGAGCCAGGGCAGGAGGAAGCAGAGAGGGAGTAGCCCATCTGAGTTCTCTTTTGCCCTTTCCTGCAACTTTGCTACTCCATGGGGGCAGAGGAGGGAGGGGGGAGGTGACAGCAGCGTAGGCGTGTTAGAGAAAAACACGGAAACCATTAAATGGAATTAATGAAATGAATGGAAAAACATGGAAAACCATTAAATGAAATGGAACCATTAAAGAAGGGTGACTAATATATGTTAGTTGCAGTATGGAAAAGATGTCTTCATTTGTAAAGCCCTTGGGGAATCCATTCTTTTTAAAGCTGGGGTTTCATCCTGAGTGCTATCCTGGTTAAGTCTATTAACACTTTTCATACCTCAATTTCTTTATCTGTGAAGTGGGTAGGACATTTCCTGTTTTATCAACCCCAGATGATGTACTGCCTATCAACAAGCTGGTGTGACAGCTGAGTGCCACAGGCAGTAGTCACTCAGACTTGAGTTCAAGTCCATTCTCTGCAATTTTCCAGTTAGAAACTTAGAAAAAAGTACCCAAGCTCTCTCTGCTTTAGTTTCTTCATCGGTGAAAATGAGGGTAGCAATAGCACTTGCCTTAAATGGTTGTCTTTAGGGGTAAATCAGATAATACATGTAAATGGTAGAACCAGGACCCCCAAACCCACTCCAAAGATACATTACAGTTGCCTCACAACCCTAATGCATACAAATCAACAGCAGAGTGTAGGGAAAAGATTCGATAGAAACACAACAAATTGCTAACCGTGTTTATTTCTGGATGGCGAGGTTATGATCTATTTGTTTTTCCTTTATATTTTTTGGCATTTTCCAAGCCACTTTTATAATCAAAAGAAAAGCTGTGCATGTTCAGATGCCTTGAGATCATTGCAGTGGTCTCCACTGCATTAAAATCTTTGGCAATACTCTCTCACAATCTTTTCAGCAACAGCTTCAAGTAGGCATCATTATCCCCATTTTCTAGATGAAGAAATGAGGCTGGTAGACGTTAGAGAGCTGGTTTAATTTTCAGATCTTATTGCTGCTAAGTGGCGGACAGCCAAGGTCCATAGGCAGACCTGGCTGTCTCAAAGATAGGTGCTGGGCACAGGCCTGCTGGACCATGGGGCTCAGTGCCCAGGACCCCTCTGCCCCAATTTTCAGGAAGCAGGGGCAAGGAGGCAGGCTGTTAGGATTGGACCTGCGGTGGGTGCATTTCCATGGATCCCCAGTGACTGCTGTACTGGTTCCCCCCATCCATATTCTGCTGGAGAATGTGGCCGGCAGAGTTGGGATTTTTCTTCCTCTCACTGCAAGGAAAGTCAAGGGAGGATCCCAGAGAGTCTTCCCAAGAAGAAACACAGTTTCCACCATAAAGGTATCCAACAGAGGGACTAAAAATAATCGGATAACCACACAAGACTGGGGGAGGGAAGTGGGTGTGAGACATACCATCTATCATAGCCAGAAGGCAATAGATAATGGCCCTCTGGCTAAATCCATCTATGTAAGCATTTTAGGGAGAGAGATGGAGGTACCACCAGTCTTGAAAACACCACTGGCCAAATGTAGATTTTCTTTGGATCCAGTGGTGAGAAGGAGACTTTTGTTTTTCATCATAAGAGCTTCTGTCCTATTTGATTTTTTTTTTTTAGCTATATGTGTTATATCTTATTTTAAAAATTATAATTTTAAAAGTACAGTGATCATCTGTGTGGATTCACATCCCACCTTGGCCAATTACGGATCTCGGGCAGTTTAGCTTCTCTAAACTGCAATTTAATCTTTTGGAAAACAGGAATAAAAACCACACTCACCCAGAGGGTTGCTCTGAGGATAAAATGAGGTAATGTATATAAAGTACATGGACCAGCACTGGCCGAAATTCAGCATCTGTAATTACTAACCATTGCTATCATTATTAATAATAAGCCAAGCGTTCGAATAAGACCCTGTGCTTTGCACACAGGCACATAGTAGGCACTTAATGCGTGGAAGTAATTGTTTCAAACCCTCTCCTGAGCCTGTAATTTTCGCCAACCGGTGACGCAGGAGCCCAGCTTAAATATTGATGTGGTTACTGATTTATTCATCAGTCGGTTCTCCACCGCAGTGTCCGCTGAGGGCAAGCCCAGCCCTCCCGCCCCCCGCGGCGCGGTCTCGCCGCAGCAGTGGGACCCTGAAGGAGGTTGGAAGCGGCAGCAGCTCACCGGCTTCCAGCTCACTGATGCGGGACTGTCACGTGCCGGAGCGGGACTCAGTTCTGGTTTCACGCAGCATCTTCCCGTGCAGGGGCGGGCTGGAGGATTGGGAGCGCGGCTTGGGACGAGGGGGGCCGCGGGGTCCCGCCCCACACCCACTTGCCCGCGCCAACGGGATGGCCATCCCTGGAGGGGCGGGCCGGGGCAGTTTTAGGGCAGGACTTTCGGAGCAGGGACAGCTCGGAGAAAGATTTGGGATTGGCCAGGAGACGCGGAGCGGGATTTTCATACCCGACAGAGGATGCCGAGCTCCCGCAAGCGAGGCGGGGTTCCGCGGGCGCCCCCAGCCCGGGGCGGGGCCAATGCGGGAGCCCCGCCCACCCCTCTGCGGAGGCCGCACCCCTTGGTCCCAGTTGTCCTCTCCAGCTACTGGCGGGCGTGCCGAGGCCGGTGCGGGGGCGCGAGAGCCAGGCCCCCGCCGCACTGCCGCACCGCCTCGCGGGTCTGGGTCGCGGGGCGGGGCGGGAGGCGGGGCGCTGACGTCGCGGCGCTGCCGGCGGCCGGGGAGGCGGGGAGGCGGCTGCCCGCTCCGCCAGCCCAGCCAGCAGCTGCGGCGGCCCGGTGGCGGCGGCGGCGGCGGCGCTCGGAGCCGGCTCCTGACCGCCCTCCGCCGCTGCCCGGCTCCTCTCGCGGTCTCCGTGTTTGTGGCCGCTTCTGCCGGCCTCGTCCGCCGCCTCCGCCATGGCCCTGGTGCGGGGCGCCGAGCCCGCCGCGGGGCCCTCCCGCTGGCTACCCACGCACGTCCAGGTGACTGTGTTGCGGGCCCGCGGGCTGCGGGGCAAGAGCTCAGGAGCGGGCAGCACCAGCGACGCGTACACGGTGATCCAGGTGGGCCGCGAGAAGTACAGCACGTCGGTGGTGGAGAAGACGCCGGGCTGCCCGGAGTGGCGCGAGGAGTGCTCTTTCGAGCTGCCACCCGGTGCCCTGGACGGCCTCCTTCGGGCGCAGGAGGCCGATGCGGGCCCGGTTCCCTGGGCGGCGGGCTCTGCCGCCGCCTGCGAGCTGGTACTCACCACCATGCACCGCTCGCTCATCGGCGTTGACAAGTTCCTGGGCCAGGCCACGGTGGCGCTGGACGAGGTCTTTGGCGCAGGCCGCGCCCAGCATACGCAGTGAGTAAGGGGCGCCGAGGGCGCGGAAACGGTTAAAGGAGAGCTCGCTGGGCGGGGCTGGCGGAGGAGCGGGACCCCAGAACCTCGGCCGGGGCGGTGCGCCCTTTGCCGCGAGCTCAAGGGCGTAAACCGACCAGTTGCTCTTTTGCATTTTGGGTACCCTTCCTTGCGACGACGGTCTGTGCTTGGCTGCTGGTGTGTCCTTGCGAAGCCTAGGGGGAGGTATAACTGGTGGGCTAGCCTTACGAGTAGATTGCCAAGGAAAGTTAGGAGTGGGATCCAGAGGCCCTTGGACTGTGGGAACCTCAAGAAGGAAAATTTGGGGGCCTTTTTTAGGGCCTCCGGGCCTGTCTCCCTTTCCTGGAAGGGGAGGGGCACTGCAGCCGCCTGCCCCAAGCCAGGCCCGCAGGGGAGTGGAGAGGCGCTGCCTTGCCTTGTGGGGGAAGGAAGGTGCAGTGTTCTACTTGAGGGCGACACTGACCAGAGATGCCCCACTAACTCTGGAGGTTGCAGAGGGCATCTGCTTCTTGCCTTCTTTGCTTCTTTGGATGCCCTCTGCCACCTAGAGACAGACGCCTCTGGACCCCTGGCCCTCTGTGTCCCCTGTTCAGAAAGCCCGAGAGCCTCCTAACTAAAGGAAGGAAACCCTTCAGGGGTTTCAAGTGTCCTACCTGTCTTTCAAGTGTCCTACCTGTCCTGCTTGAGGTGAAGGCAGCGGCACGGTTAATGCACAGCGGGGGATAATCTCCCGGCCGCTTCCACCTGGAAGGGCCTGTGCGGTTTTTAATCATTTGTCTTGGCCTCGTTTAACCTTCCCCGGTGTTAAGATCAAGGCTTCAGACTTGGAGCCCCATTTCCTGTTTGGACTTGGGCAGGATCTGAAAGCCAGTCCCCAGGACTGACCACCTGCTGTGGATCCTTTTGAGGGGTTAACTGGGGTGATAACTCCCCTGGACCCCGTGGGCCCTGGATGGGGATGGTAAGGGGATGGGCAGGTGTGCCCTGGGCGTGCCCTGGGTGGGGACAGGTGCTGAAAAGGTTTGCCCATGTGGAATGGCATCTGAGTAAATCTAGAAAGGCTTATTAGAGAGGGATGAGCCTGGTGCAGACCCATGTGAGAGCAGGATTTGGTTAGAAAGGATCTGACCTTGAACATTTTTCAAAACCTGTGTATGTAGGAAAGGGCCTTGGTGGCTCTGCGGGCTGGAGTGGGAAGCTGGTTAGCATGGGGCAGGTTCCAGGCAGGGCTGTGACCTGGCTTCATCTGCCCCACCCCTGGCCTTCTCCTCTCCTTCCCTCCTGACTTGCTGTTTGGTTGTGGAATCATGTGGTATAGTTTGGCCCTTGTTTTGTTTTTTTTCCTCCCCTTTTCTGCCCTCTCCTTCCTTTCTGCCCCTTTCTGCCTGAGGGAGGCCAAGGGGTGGGGGTGGGGCAGAAAGCTTTCCTCTGCGTCTCTTAGCCCTTTCTTTTCCCCAAGCGGCTCCTGTCCCCAAATTCATTCCATCCCTTTCTTTCCTAGTCCTTCAGTCTCCACCACTAGGCTCACGACCAGACTGGTGGATGACACTGCTGGTGGCTGGGGGAGGGGAAGACAGAAAGTCTCTGGGCTTGTGGGGAAAGGCCTCTGTGAAGTCAGTGCCTTAGGATCTGGGGAGCTTTGATTTTTTTCAGGTTCTGCCCTTGCTTTCTTCTTGGCCTTTGAATCTTCCTTAGCTGAACTGTTTGTAAGCCCAGGTGGGCCTATTTTCAGCCAAGGACAGTCCCTCTTTGAGAATTTGACTTGCCACCCCATTCAGATCAAGATTAATTTACTTTATAGAAGTCATCATTCCCACCAGGATCTTTCCAAACCTACCCCCTGCTTTCCTCTGGTTTGTTGACCTGGGTTATTTATAGAACATGGAGGGGGCAGGAGAAGAGAGGGGCACTCCTGGTGGGCAGAGGCAAAGTCTGTGAAATGTGCCTGATCTTCCAGTACACTGGACCTAACAGCGTACCAACTGACGGAGGGTGAGGGCTGCTGCTCCCACTCAGGTCCCCACCTCCAGCCTCTGATTTTTTTTTTTTTTTAAAGATTTTATTTATTTATTTGATAGAGAGAGAGATCACAAGTAGGCAGAGAGGCAGGCAGGGGGAAGGAAGGCGGGGGGTGGGTGGGTGGAAGCAGGCCATCCCAGGACTTTGAGATCATGACCTGAGCAGAAGGCAGAGGCTTAACCCACTGAGCCACCCAGGCGCCCCATTCAGCCTCTGATTTTAATGGCCATTTCTGGTGACATCTCCTGGGAGCATCCCAGCATGAGCTACTGAGATAGTGAATCGCACATTCCCCAGTGGAGAGAGAGCAAGATGGAGAGGATCAGGGTGTACCCTCCTCAGCTTTGGGTAATGATGGAAGAGAACAGTATCCCCTCTAATGCCAGGAGCCAGCTGTGGTGGTTTCAGGGAAGACAAATGGCAGCCCTGTGTTGCCAAGACAGAACCTGACTGTTGAAGGGCACCTCATGGTTATGGGGAGGGGGCTGTGGAGCTACAAATAAAATAGATTCCCGTTTCAAACTTCCCACCTTGTGGTGAGTCAAGTAAACGCTTGGTGCCTCAGTTTTCTCATCGGTCCAGTGGGGCTAGTGTTACAAGACTGAAGTAAGGCCTGAAATGAGAATGCAATTAAAGCACCTAGGCGTGGCTGCTGGTGAGTGAACAGCAGTGATAGTGGAGGGAGGTTTTGATAACAGTGTCTGGTAGCGCTGGTCTGGAAGATGTCCCTGCCCTTGAAGAGCCTCTCATGTGATGGGGGAGACAATACAGAGCTTAGAGCCTGGGTTTGGGAAAGCCCCAGGAACATGGGTGGCAAAGTACCTACAGGAGTGGGAGAGCTCCTGACAAAATAGGCTGGCCCTTTGCAGGCCTCCATTCTTTTTGCTGCTAGAGGTTTGAGAAATTAGGGCTGGACTTGGGCTCGGCAATGCTCAATCCAGACTTGGGTCAGCTTGCAGGCCTCCCCAGCAGCCTGGACTGCAGCTGCCCTTGCCCTCTCCAGAAGGCAAGACCGTCCAGTGTTTCAGAACATGGAGATGGCTTTCATTCCCAGTTCTGTGACTTATTAGCAGGCAAGTTACTTAACCTGTTTCCTCATTTCTACAAAGGTCACAGTTATAATTATGGAATGATAAGATTAAATAAGACCGTGTCTGAAAAGGCCTTAGTATAGTTCTAGGCCTAGAGTAAGCCTTCAAAGGGTGGAGGTTGTCGTTTCTCTGAGGACCTTGGTGGGGTGGATGGTATGGGACACCTCAGTGTTCCGTGATGCTCCTTTGTCAAGGGGTGCTCTTTGAGGTCAGGATTTCACCAGAGGCTTTCAAAGAACTGAAGAGGAAGTTCTCAAAACATAATTTAACATGATACATGAGGAAACTGATTATGACCTTTTCCCCTCAGTGAAGCCATTCATGGATCATCATGGATCTGAAAATCCTAAGATGCTTCTCCACTATTTCCTTACTGGTTTTTAGCTCTAGTACCCTTGGTGGGTACTGTGTGTGGAGAGGGTGTTATGTATGAAGTAAAAGAGTGCCTGCCCTAAAGAACACCCATCCTGGGCCCATCAGATTGATGGGTAGAGCCTGGCCCCTTAGGGAGCCTGAGTCTGGGCTTAATTTGGTTTGGGACCAGTTCGTCTTTTTTTCCTCCTAAAGAGTAAAACCGTTGGGCAGGCTGCTAACTGCAGCACCCTGAGATTTTGTCGGCCCTGTCAGGGGCCATTGATTTTATGGAGGGCTTCCGGGAGGCCTGTAGCTGCCCAGGACCACTGCGGTTTGAGATAGTTGTGTTCCGCCTGACTGATCACGGCAGCCTGAGATACCCTCAAAGGTGGTGGGTTTGGGGGCACTGGGGGAGGCACCTGAAGGAAAATGCAGCCTGCTGGCCTAAGGTTGGGATGGTTTTTGAGGGCTTCCATTCATCTCTCAGCCTCCACACGGCCTGCACCTTCCTGTGCACGTGACCCTCTCGCCACTGGTTTCCAGATGTGACCGCTCCCCAGGAAGCAGCTGAGGCTGCAAGGGTCCTGGGCCCAACCCTAAAGTTCAGCTCCAGCTCCAGCCCCAGACCTGTGGGGCTGCTGGGGGAGTCTGCTTTGGCCGGGAGTGTTCCTGTGGGGAAGGGTGTGGCCATATTTAAAAGCCAGTCATTAGGGTGCAGGAGACTCCAACTCCCTTAGTTCTGGGGTGGTTTTTATTTGGGATTGCTTGAGCAGCAGTGGCTGGGGGAGAGGGGAGGGGAGGAAGTGACTCCTCCATCAGACTGGGCGGCTCCTGGTTGGCACAGCAACTTCCTCTTCCCTCAGGCTCTGGCCCTGGGTGGGAGCCTGGCTCTGCCCTGTACTGCTCTCCCTGTAGCCAGCCAGGGATAGGCATAGCTCAGCAGATCCTTGGCCCCGGGCGGCCACAAGGGCTGTCCTTTCCTCCAAAGGGGGCTGCCCGCTCTGCCTGTTATTGCTGCTTCCCTGGTGCTGTGACGCTCTTGCCTACGCGAAAGACTAGTCAGGCCTTGTCCAGATGTTTCCCCTGCCCTTCCCACCCTGCGCTGGGACAGATAATTAACACAATGGCAGGAGCTCTCTGGGAATCAGTACTCTGTTTTTTCCTTGTGCAGGGCCAATCCTCTGCAAAATGGTATCGTCATCAAAAAGCGTTGCCCTTTTCCACAGCCAAGTTTAAAAAAAAAAAATGAGTCTACATGTGGGTCCTTTCTATACCTGGCGGTCCTGCCAGGGAAGAGTCTTATGGTTTTGCTCTTACTAAACCCCTTAGGTTACTTCTTGCCTCAGAAAGGATGGCAGCCAGTGAGGAGAGCTGAGCTTGGCAGGTCGGGCTGAGGCCCCTGTGTGGGGCTGGGCCCAGGCCTCTCCTTAGCGAAGGGGAAGCAAGCAGGGCCCCTGCAAGTTCCAGAGGAGCTGCCCAGAGGAGGGGCTTTGTCCCAGGCCACCTCAGCCTTCAGCT